AGTTTTTGCTTACGTTAAAAGACGCAGTGGGGCAAAACTGTCTATACCAGCGTTATTGCGAGCAGACGGGACCCGTGCGCAAACTGACTATGACAAGGCTTGTATACTTAGTGATCACTATACTGGGGTCTTTACTCGGGAGACCAATTTACCACAGATTGAATTGGTTTCAAGAGTTCCAGAGGATTTTTGCTTAGCTGAGTTTAGCATAACGGAGACTTAGGTCTTCGAGCTACTGCAAGGCATTAATCCTAAAGCTTCCAGTCCTGATTCAATACATCCGAAGCTGTGGCATGAATTGGCCACTGAGCTTAGTGGTCCTCTCATATGCGTGTTTTCAATATCGCTGGACAGCTGCATCCTACCTTCGGAATGAAGAAGGCAATCATCTGTCCGATTTTTAAGAGCAGTGACAGCGCTCTACACGCGAACGACCGGCCTGTCAGTTTGACAAGCGTAATAGTCAAGTTGTTTAAAAAGCTGATAAGGGATTATGTGGAGAACCACCTGAATAGATTCAACCTTCTCAGTCTTGCTCAACATGGATTCCACAAGAGATTTTCATATTAGACTAATCTACTTATAGTTCGTGAAAGCTGGTCCGAAGTGATAGACAGTGGCCACGCTATTCGTGGACTTTTCGAAAGCTTTTGACACTGTTCCACATCTGCGGCTCTCACTAAACTTGTGCTCTTACGTGATAGCTGGTCGCGCCCTCCAATGGGTGGGGAGGGAACAGTGGTACAGGTGGGGAGTAGCCTTTTGCTCAGGCAAGCTGTCCTTAGTGGCGTTCCGCAGGGCTCGGTATTGGGGCCATTGTTGTTTGCGATCTATGTAAATGACTTGCCGGGAGAGCTAGGGGTGTCATCACTAAGGTTTGCTGACGACCTTAAGCTCTGGAATATTGTGAATATCCCGGGGGGTCCTGAGGCAATTCAGCGTGCCTTGGATAGGCTCTGGAAATGGTCTACCTTAAGGTTGATGCCCATAAATATGGCCAAGTGCTCTGTTCTTCGAATCGGAGCTGCAAATCCTCCAACCCGATATGTTGTCGGCGGTGGTGAACTCCCTATTGTCACTAAACAGGTTGATTAAGGAGTCGTACACGCATCAGCACTTCATTCTGGAGACAACTGGAAGAAGGCTGCTTGTCGAGGGTTTCGTATGATGTGGTTTATCCGCAGCTCTGTTAGAATCTTAACAGCCAATTTGTTTGTGAAGCTATTTTCGGCATTCGTCCGACCCCACCTGGAATATTGTATTCAGGCTTGTCCACCATGTCTTAACCGGGACAAAATGGACTTGGAGTGGGTGTTACGAGTGGGCACTCGGTTAGTGCAGGGTCTACGGGGACAGACGTAGGCTGAAAGCTTGCTCAGTTTGGAGATGTACTCAATGCACTACCGAAGGATAAGAGGGGACCTGATTCTCACTTCTCGTATTTTGACGCGTAAGATTGGCCCGGACTTGTCAGGGCTATTTAGTCCCACTACTTTACCTAATATCCGCGGTCACCCACTGAAACTACATAAACCACGGTCTGATGGGATTAGGACGGAGACTTATTTGTCGCGCCGAGTTATAGACCGCTGGAATTCGATTCCAGATCATGTGGTTAGGGAAGCTACGCTTGAGGGTTTCGCGCGCCAGCTCGATGCTCTTGGGTGGCAACAGCAAACTTTTCCTTTTTCCTAGCTGATTTACCTTCACTTATTAGTTCCTGTTTTAATGTTTCAACTATCTTGGTATTCCACTTGCTTAGCTCTTTCCGCTTTCTCTTTTGCCTTCTGAGTTTACTTTTTTCTCTTTCTTTACATAACTGGCCCAGCAGGGACTGCTAGGGCAGGATGCGTGGGCATTACTTGGGTGGTGTGATGCGGTCTTTGTTTTAGGTCCATCAGTATTTCCAAATCCGCCAACTCCTGGCTCAACGACCCGCTGAAGAAGGAACACTCACGGGATAATTCTATCGTTCCAGTCCCGCTTGAACTTAAACTTGAACCAAGACAAGAAACATTGTTAATGATAGTTCCTTTTGCCTATTAGAAGCCGCCATTTCATTTTCAAATTCGGTAAGGAGGTATCGATAGGAGGTTTGTGTGCCCACAACAGGACCAAGTTAGGCGATGATAATGACACCTGTCGATATAGCCTTGTGCTACATCTATAGTGCCGCGTTTATCACTAATTTTGACGGGACATCGTCCGACAGGTAAAATGATTGCGGGCCCTGAGCAAGCCTACAACCCAACCTTTGACTACTAGCCTTTAAGTACCGAATGAGTCACGCAAATCGCGTACGATAATTTACCCTACCTTCTCGACAAGTGTTATATGAGATACGCTTTCCGTGGTTGGAAAAGCTTGACACCGTTGTAACTGGATCTGGTGAATAGTGGTGAAAAGTACATGTATATTTTACAGCTAGCTTGTTCTGTAATTTTTCTGCTATGTTGTGTTGGTAGTCCTTGAAGTGTGAGAATTAATGAATAATGTCATGCGGGAGAATCAGGCAGAGGCGGTGTGCAAACTATGTCATCCGATGAGCACAAGAACACATTGGGCAGTGAAATGCTGTGACAGAAGAAGGGAACTCCAAATCTTCCCTTATTTTTAATAACTTTCTAATGTGCAAAACAATCAGCTCCGCAGCTCAAAAATGCAACCATTATCAAAGCCTAAGTGGACGCTATCAATGTCTTCAGGTAGCGGTCTTTTAACTTCAAAACTGTGCTATTCAACGTAATTTAATGAGACTTGTCTTGGCTTTTTACTTATCTCTGTGTAGGAACATACGATGCTGCATTCGACTACGCCATTTCGGTCCTTTGCTCACTCCATAAGGTGGAGTGGTTTAGCCATGAACGTTAGGCATTTATCTGGAAAGGTATGGAATATTGCATGTAAAGGCACTTAGTGGTGTCAGTTCTCGTTGTTACCCGTATTGCCATGAGTACCTCAAATAAACCGAAATAAAAAAATACCAATACAGAACGGGTTGCGTATGCAGTGGAGGCACACTCTATGTCCGTAACCCATAGATGCTAAAAGGACAATAAAATGAGCAATAGTTACTAAAAAAAACTCGTAGTTCTTACCGGTGAAATTCTCGGGCTTTGTTAGCAAATGGTTCAGAAATTTGGTTTGTAATCTCCACATTTAGACACTAGGCACTTACCAATGCATGAGATCGGGTTCTGTGCAGTCTCAGCCCGCGTATGGCTGCTAGAAGGTGAATTTCAGTGAAGTATCAATACAGATTGCTGGTATAATTCTGCTAGTTAACTAACTATCCTGGCTACTTAAAACGGGTAATGGTAGAATATGTGTTTGCTCGTCCGGTCTGAGTGAGAGCTAAGGTACATTTCATCTATCCATTAACGACCTAAAGACAGGAATCATTTCGATGTTTGATCCGGTAGCAGGTATACACTAGAAGGAAAGGAATGGAGGCTGCAGAGACGACGAACAATCACAGCAAAAATCGTTCAAACTTTATGATTATTGTTATTGCACCCAAATGAATGGCCGAAACGATAAATACAGAAACAGGCTGGAGAAGTGCTGGAGTAAGATGATTAGGTAACGATCTCAGGGCAGCCTACAGGTACATCATTAAGCACACTACAAATGCTTCGGATTCATCATGCATGTTGGCGGACCTACTATCCTCACACTTAGCATTTGTTCACTAAAAGCTGTTTAATTAATGTGACGGTGTTTACCTTATGCATGTTATGCCCGTTTTATGGTATGCTATATTTTGATTTCGAATCAATTAAAGGCTCCTGATGTTGATATTACCCAAAGCTGCTTCGGCGATTCAAAGTCTCCAGAACTCTCCCGAAAGCCATCTCGACCTTTGGGCTTCCAACAAATAAGTCCGCGCATATGCTAAGTCTTTGGTTTATTTTCACAACGCAGTGGTACTAGAAAGTTTTGCAGTAAAACTAGTGCTTGTGCTCAGGTTAGATTAATAACGGGAAAGTGGATTTAATTGTAGTTATCGCGACGAATGTCCGAATCGATGAAACACTATTAGAACTCCTGTCCATCAGATTTCGCAACGTCGTTTAGTTAGGACGATTATGAAAGAGGAATGCCGTGAATGTTAATTCTTGGGCGGATCATTGAGATAGGATTTGTTAAGGTGTTCCGAGGTCTAGATGGATCTAAAGCGAAACAACAGAACCATAGCCTGGTCAACCAACTACCGCCCATGTTTCTTGCATGAGCAGCCCAGTCGTGTCCGTTACGTGATGTAAGCAAGATATAAGAATACAATGGAAGGTAAAGAAGAAGCATGGTTATTTAAACGAAGGACAATAGCAGTGCGTGAAACAAAGCGCGGAACATAAACTCAAACCATATAGATGTATATGGTCCAGGGAATGTTTTCATGTTGTGCCCTTTAGAGCGTTCAAATGTAAACCCTTGGTTCCCCGACCACATTCTATGGATGTGAGTTCTAGCGCTCGATAACTCGACTGGATAACAGAGTTTCCACTTTAATCCGGTCACAAGGCGGCTTGCGCAGCTACACGGGATGGCTCCGGAAGCCAAACACTCTTACCTTAGCTTAAAGCGCTCTCATTAAGCAAGCTTCAATATATGCATCATTGGCAGGGTGAATAAGCTAACAGATAAATGGGCATCGATCTCGTGATCATTTCTGATAGGTCGAGCAACGCTGTCTCGATAAGCATTGGGACCAACTGGACCCAGTGCTTACACTTCACAGTTTGAAGCTATCAAACGCAATTGGGCATAAGTACACCAAAGACGCTCGTGGAGATAATGCACTTTATATCAGGTTGTCGAAATTTTAAATTTCTTGCTCATTAAATATTGTGTACAGTGGTCAGCAGTTTTGGCTAAATTTAACAAAAGTGCAACATCCATAACGCTGATCGCATAATGATGCAGCATAGCGTGAATACATACCCAGTGGATTTCAGGCAAAATTACAAAGTGCAGTTGTAACTCATCATGGAACTCACATGTGTCAGGGTCATGGGGTCCAAAAAGTCCGGTTTCAGATAGGCAGTGTTTGTATCATCTGCTGACTCTTTTGCGCCTGTCGAGACGTGGTCTGCAGAGGAGATATTGCATATATGTTTGCTGTTGGTAGTGGGGTGTGTGTTCGAAGTATCCGTCGATCCTTTGGATGTACCGCATGTATTGTCTGCTTTTCGAGCCGGAGGAGCGGAGCATGGGTGTCTGATGCGCATGCTATCGTAGCTGAACGAAGTGGCCGCTTTTAATCCTACAAATGCCGCGATCGTGTCTCCGGGTGCGTCTACCTGGGTCCAAAGGTGGCTCCGTGCTAAGTGGACCGAAAGCGCTAATTAATCGGCGGTATATCAAAAGTAAATAATGCGACCAATCACACAGCAGACTGTGTCTGGGCTGCCTATGCTGCTGATACCTCATTGGCTGAGTGAACAGCCAACCAACAGATAGTCTAAACCAGCTTGTGGGTTCATCATTGGTTGCCAATTTTGATTTGGAAGCGGCTTGGGAGATCACTGGGGTAGATTTGTTATATCTGAACCGTGTCATCTCATGGTCTCCAGACTCAACGTATGTCATAGAAACCGACGGGAAGATATTTCTCTGGTTATTATACGACAGGTTCAAGTTAATTGCGTTTTGCTTTCTTATTTTTTACAACGCCTCGTTTATAGTAACAAGCATTCGAAAATATATATAAAAGATTGTTCGACTAGCTACTTCGTGTGCATTTAAATGCAAGAATATCTACCAGAGAACGTACTTGGTGGGATGTCTTTACATCCGACTAAAGCGGTCTCATCTTTCAGTAGGCAAAAGCGAAGCTGTGTAGCGCTTAATGGTAGCACAGGACCACCGCAAAACGAACACACTATCAAAGTAAAAGTTGTGTAATGGATACTTTTAAGAATAACGGTACCATCAAAGTTAACCACGAAAAAATACAGAGCAACCATTGGGTTACAAATGAATGAATGTCAGCACATCAATTAAAACGACGATTATCATGGTCTCGCTAGTCTTCTATACTCATTTCGTAAGGTTTTCTAGTGCTGGGACACAATGGACATTATGAGTTTGTGAATAGTAAAGGCCTGTTTATAAAGCACTGAGATATCGTCTTCAGAGAGATTACATAGTGCGATCAAACATCCGATCATTAATCCTTAGCTTGCTAACCTGTCATAGATTTATTTGATTGTTTGCTAAAGCCGGTGGCTTGACATAGGAAATACTTTATTTGGTATCTTTGTTCAGTTTTTAAGTGTCTTCAAATTAAATTTAGTCTGATCGACTTTACTTGGCGGCGAGTTTACCATGATATCGCACAAGCTGTTTCTTGATCACTTGAAACTATCAAGTGGAGGAAAGTGTCTGCACAATTTTAGTACTTTTCCGCCGAGCTTCACAGCTGTCGTTTTTCACGCCGTGATTTACTTCGCAGGGCATCTCCGTCGGTTTCATCACTGAAACTTGGCGGCAGTAAGCATCTGACTGCTCTGCCGTGGCGCGCCTTTAAATGAGCCGTTGCCTTTCATTGAACATCATCTTTACTTTATTTATTGCAGATATAATAAGTTATTTAAAGCAGTTAGTTCCCTTCCGAAATTGGAAAAGCACGGTAAGAAGACGAAAACTGGTAGATGCATGCATTTCGTATTGTCTCCTCAGTACCATTGACAATAACAGGTATGCAACTATATACTTAAATATGTGTGTGCCCGAATAAGCATGAGGTGAAAAATTTTTCACCTAATTCTTATTCGCTCACCCGCATATTTAAGTATATAGTTGCATACCGGTTATTGTTAATGGTACTGAGGAGATAATAAGTTCGTCCAAAGTATTTCTATGGTAACAACACCGATATTTTGAATACAAAGCCTAGACACTGCGCACTGTTCTCGTTCTGTTGGTTTTGGCCACAAACATTTGACGATTTGAACACAATTAAGAAGAACTGACCTCACAAAACCATGCTCTGTCTATAGGAAAACACGAGAATTTTTTGATAGATATTCACTCAGTACTCAAGAACCCGGGACCTTTTGCTCTAGTGACAGCATTGCGCACTTTTCCCTTTCTTGCATCCATCTATAACATTTTGTATGTTTCAATGTGTCCTTTACGTAGTCCGCAGTTGATAATATAAAATGTTGAAAATGCGCCCACCTTAGCTTGACTTGATTTGACTTGACTTGATGCATGCATAGTTACCTAAATAACCAACATATATGTCGGAGCAATCCATTTCGTTATTGGAAGTAGATTGCCACAATCTGATTTCACGAACCCACAGCAAAAACCTGAATTTTGAAGCATATTCAAAGTTTAACTAAGCAGGAGTGAATTAACCTGTTTTTATCGTTCCGCTTTAGCCATTTTCGAATCCCTGTGACGCGTAATAAATATCTTTGAGCCAATAGCCACTTGCAGATTTATAATACCATGCTGACTACTTCGTACAGGATCTAAAGAGAGTACTAATAATGGCGAATGACACCAGTTCACTCGACACTGTAGCAAATTCTAAGTGTTTTGCTGTAGTCCGTGCTTCGTTGATTGCTCGTTATACAGTTTAGCGAGGTATCAAAAAATGTGAAAAAGTTTTGTTGGACAGCAGTTGGTTCTGATAAAAGGACAGAAAATTTATCAACTAATGTAGAGCACAAAGTTTATATGGTTACAATATACTTGGAAATAAAGAAGCGGATCATAATTTTGTGTCATGACTGAAGATTGTTTTCGGTTTGTGAGAAGAACTTGTGTCTAGCGGAACGACATTTGAAGTAACACACCTGTAACACTGCTTTAAGAGTCCCATATGTTCTGTTTCTTATTACCCCATCTGTACACAAAAAACAGCTCGTGTCATACTTTAGCAATCTTTAGTGTGGTTTATCGGGCATACCTTTTTCTTGTGGGATAGTGTACTTTCTAATGCACACAATGGATACGAAGGAACAATATCTGTACATCACAGAATGAAACCGTATAAACCCTAACAAGCAGGGCAGTGATAAGCTGGCGCATGACCTGCGGCTGCGGCTGCGGCTGAACCTTTACTTGTTTGGAGTGCATCTGTCAGCTGTGTTTACAATGGAAGAAGGAAGTATTGAAAATTCGTTGTCCTGTGTAAATGAATTTTGGCATGAGCGCAGGTGACTTTTAAATAGTTCAACACACAGCATTTCACCATACCAAAAGTTTAATACTGTTATTTTGCTTTGTTTTACCTTCGAAACAACGCAATTCCCTTCAGAACTTTCCCGTTCCCCGACACAGGGATGTCAAACATGCGCTTAGTGCCTGACAGCAATAGACTATGAGAGACGTTAGTGATGTATCCGACCACTTTGAAAACTACGACGTATCCAACGTAATTATTCACCGCTTTGTAAGTATTGCCGTCTAGAAGATTGTGTTGGATCTTACAAGCACGGAATAGCTCTCCAGCCACACACTGCACAGTGGCATAGGCCATCGAACAAGATCCGAATAGCGAACGCGCCACTGGTTAAACCAAATAACGCAAACAATATTCCAGTTTTCATCATAATTCTGATGACTCTACAAATGATAAAACCGGTGGGAAACCTACTTAAAAAAGATTTAGTTACCTCTCACTAAATTTATATAAATAAGTTCATTTATTTTATGTCCTCCACTGTAATTGGTCTAAGTTGCCGAATACTTTGACTATTCTACATTTTAGGCTCAAGCTTACTACACCGTCAACATCGACAAAAATGACAATTAACTACCATTTAGTGGTAAGTGTACAGTACTAAGTGCGAAACAATAATTATCTTGTCTGTGGATAGCTTTCTAAATGTACCGCATAAATTTTCATTCGACCGGGAATAAGTCATATTATCTGACGGGCTGTCTTCATACAGACTATGGTTCGCATGCATCAGTAATCTACCAGAAACTTTTGCTGTCTACCATACACCAGGTTGATAAATAAATATTGCAACTCAAATGACACATGATTAAAACAGATTGCACACCTGCTATGGAAACATTTGTGGTTACGGAAGCCAAATGACGGATCATACAGAGATTGTCCGGTAAAAGTTCCGATAAATCAATAGAAAATGTCTAATTTTGACAGCTTCAAAAATACATGCACCTACGAGGATATAATTTACGCCTCCCTTTGTACGCAATGGAAGCAGTCAATGAAATAAACTTAAACGTCACACCTTCTTATAGGGCTATCTAGATAAATTATACGGGCACCCTCATAACGGGAATCATAAAACATTCTGGAGAAAATAGCTTAAATCTACCTGTCTATATTCAGCAAAACTCTTACACAATTGGTTTACCATTATCTTAAGAATTGCGAATTGAGCCTGTTTTTCCATATTAATAAAAACCGTTTCACCTATGAGGCATTCTGTTAACCGTCCATTCGATTTACAGACACTTGCAGATGTTGGCTTGGAGATCTGGTACCCGGACCATTCACAACTAGACTTGTTTTCGCACCACTAACTAAATGACAATTATAATAACTGGTTTGTATTTTATTCAATCGTGACATTTACCTGGATTGATAACATTTAGAAACTGGCAATAAATATATGTGTGCGTACGCACTGTGTCAAAATCACACAAGTAACACCTAACCGAAAAGTTAACCTTCAGTTTGTCCAACTTACTTGCACGAAACGATGAAAAGTCACTTTATCAAGACTCGATTGCATCAAACTTTTTTCATCGGTTATAAATTCGATTTCATGTCACTATCTCACATCAGAAGTTTTAAGCGAGCAAAATGAACGATATTTGTGCGGGAAAGCTGAATTAAGCTTTTGCAAGTATTCTCATTCAGTCGCTTACAGACAAATCGTGGAAAGAGTCAAGCAATGCAGTTGAAAAGGGGTCGATAAGGGAAACAATACAACATTGAGAAAATCTAGGTCTTTACTTACGTCTTACTAGGGCAGGGCAAGACGGACCACAAGGTCGAGCTGTTTGCAATGTTTAGGTTTCATTCGCAGCATGACAGAGGCTTCAGCGAAACGCAGCAAGCTCGCGTTGTTCTCTACTGATAACTTAGAACGCGTCACGTGGGTTTTCGCACAAGGTGCAATCGAGCAGATGTTGAGCGTTTGAGCTGGCAGGAATTTTAAGGTCACTAGTTGCCATGTTCCCAGTAACATCTTCCATGATCATAGTTGATAGCCTTCTCTCGGTCTGGCCAATGTAGATGATACCACAAGTACAGGTGTTGGTAAACACATGAAGCATTAACTTGGGTGTGAAAATTATCCAAGTTGGATTCATGGAACAACTTCTTGGTTCGATGTCGCAACAC